TCCTTCCTTTTGTTTCATCAATCATCCATAAATCATCAATTGATAAATTTAAAAATAAAAAAGCTGCTATTGATGGATATGCTTTACTTCATAGAATTGCTACAAGAAACCCAAGACAAGTTGTAGTGAATAATGATTACTTTTTCATTGTAAATGGAATGTTAGAATATCTCAAATTCTTTAATATACACAAAATTATACCAATTTTTGTTTTTGATGGTGCAACTTTACCCTCAAAAAAACTTATTGAAGAAGAACGTTTGAAACGAAGAAAATCTGCCTATTCAAATGCTTTGAAATATGAAAAAGAAGGAAATCAAATTGAGGCATTAATTTGCTGGAAACAAGCAATAGACATTACTCCATTTCATGCATCAAAAGTAATTAATGCATTTCATAAACGAGGAGTTCAATGTATTGTTGCCCCTTATGGAGCAGATGCACAGATGGCGTATTTATCCAGAACAGGTTATGTAGATGTTGTAATATGTGAAGATAGTGATATGATTCCATATGGTTGTTCTGTTGTATTATTTAAATTAAATATTGTATCAAATATATGTGATGTATATCAAGCACAAGATTTACCTAAAACACCATTTGGAATTAATGTTACATTATTCCAACTTCAAATTACATGTATATTATCAGGATGTGACTATTTTCAAGGAATTAATGGAATTGGATTGAAAAAAGCATTAAAAATAGTTGGAAGTTGCAAAACAATCAAACAAGTTATTTCAAGCTTGAAAAAAAATTATAAGAAACCATTACCAAACAACCTTGAAGAAGACTTAAATGATGCTCTTTTTACATTTAATCATCAATACATTTATGACATTGAAGAAAAAACAATAATTCCATTAACAGATTTTGAAGGAAATGAAACTAACGAGTTAATTGAACGAACTCTTGGTAAGAAATTAGACCAAGGAGTTATAGTTCAAATCGCAGAAGGAAAGATTGACCCTAATACACTTGAACCATTCAATAATAATGAAATAGATATTTTTGATCTTGAACCAATCCCTCAAATAAAACAATTCCAAATACTTCACCAATCACCTAAGTGGTGTGTTGAAGATATTTTGAACAAAGTCCATCATCAAAATAAAGAGAATGAGGACAGTAATGAATTAGTGAGTGAGGAGGAAGAATCAAAGTTAGATAGTCAACCAATCAGTGAAATTAAAATTGAAGAACCTCAATCTACGGTACAGAGAAAAGATGGTTTTCATGAGGAAACTGAAATAAAATCTAATATCATTGACACTGACCCATTTGAATCTGAAAACTCGTTTATTTTTATACAAGAAGATTTAACAAGTTTGAAACGAGCAAGGTATGATGAAAATAATGAAGACGAATCAACAGAATTAAGCACTCTCATTAATAAACCTACTTCAGATATTGAACAACCTTTATCTAAAAGAAAACTTGAATGAACAGATTGTTTTATAAATTTCTTTACTGTTTTTTAAACTTAACATAAATATAAACAATCAATTTATTCAAGACAAACTATCATTCATAAAAATTAACTTATAAGGATAGTTATCAAAAGTAATAAAAAGCAATTAATTAAATGTTATTAGAATTTGTTTCTAATGTCAATCTTTTAATTAAGACTAGATTGTTCGTTATCAATTAATTTAATTGGGTGTATTCTATTATGGTATCCTGAATGTTCCATAACGTCCATCATTTTTTTGACCAAAGATTTTTAACTTCTTTTAATTCGTTGTTTTTATTTCTTTATACTTAATTCTTTTCTTTAAATAGGCTGCACTGATATTGTGATCTGCAACAATAGTCATTTCAAATAATAGACCAGTTTTATTATTTTTATATGTTAAATATATATCTGGTCTTTTGGGTTATTGTCCATCATTTTTTGGCATTATGTGTTTGTTCAATATCATAGTAATGTATTTATATTGGCATATTGTTTCATATATTGATTTCTTGTATTGATTATTTCATGTATATTTTCTTATTATCTCATATGATATTCTTGATTCTTAATTGTATATGTTTTATTATATATTTCATTATTCTTGTAATATTCTCATTGTTTCATTATCTCCTCTTCTCTTCACTATGTTATCTCTTCTTTTTATATTGTTTATTCAATTAGAATTAATTTGAATGTTGATGGACATTTCTAATATATCTTTAGAATGAAATACCATTTTAGAATATGAATTAAATAAACACTTTACTTATATTTTTGTTAAATTCATTCTATTAGAAGATAGATAAAATACTTTCAATTATTAATTCACTTCAACCGTATATTTCATATTTTCATTCATTCTTTATTATTGATGATAATATTATATATCCAGAATATTAATGTGGTATTGATTCATTAAATATAATTTGAATTTTCAAATGATTCTAATGATAAAAATATAAATTATACCAATTATTAATAAGTAATAATATACTATTATGTTTAAGATACTTTTTAATGTTAAAACATATTTTCAATATCAAAATGGAAATAATATAACACAACTAATAACCATTTCAATGATAATAAAATATAACAAATAAAAATGAAGATAGAATGAAAGCAAAGTGTTAAATTGATATTAATAAATAAAATGAATTAAATAAAAGTTAAAAGTAATTAATATCATAAGAGAATAATATATTTGTTTATTAAAAATTATTAAATACAATAATTTTATCAAGAGGTTATTAAAATACAATAATTTTATATTTAATACAACAAAAACAATATACCAACAAAATATATCAATATTCTATTATCAATTTAAACAAAAAATCAATAAGAAATTAACAATAGTTTTAATCAATTATTGAATAAAATAATGGTTATGATTAAGAAATTTAATTTAATAATTATCACATAACTTAAAACAAATAATTGATATAATTTATCAAATCAATATTATTTATTCAAATTAAAATATAAATTACAATAAAATATCAAAACAATTAATTTAATAAATAATCTAATACAAATTAATATATTAATTTGTTAAAATAATAAAGATAATTAAAAAATGATTAAAATATTAATAAATAAGATAAATAAAATGATAAACAACAATATTGAACATATTAATCAAAACAAAAACACAAATGGAAATACAAATATTAAAATAAGAATTGTTTATTAAATGATACAAAGAAACCATAAAGTCAATGAAATTATTCATAACCAACATGTTTAATCAATTCAAATAAAATGAATTAAACAACAAATTACTGGTTAAAGTAATATTACAATAAACTTCTTATTATTCTCAATATATATATATATCGAAATATAATTTAACATATAGTACTTATTTAATTAGAATTGATTTGTTAAATAATAATGTGTAATATTAATTAATTATTCATATGGTACATTGTTAAATACCATGAAGTTTGAATGTTATTTGATTAACTAGTATCAATTGTTGAAATATTTATTACTTTATAATTGTACTATTTATCACTTTTAAAAATTGATTATGAAACAATTATATAGTAATTAATGAAGAATGCTCATAAATCTATAGAAGAAATGAAAATTACTATTAAAAGAAAAGAATAAAAAGAATTTACATGAAGAAAATAAAACAAAAAATGAAATGATTATGATATTAAGATTAATATTGCATCAATGAATTTATCATTTTGAAAATGAGTATATAATGTTTCATCAAGATATTCACAACTATTAAGTTAAATAGAAAATATACTGTTTAAGTTTCTTATTCTAAATGATTTCTAATTCTTTTTTTTTTTTTTTTTTTTAATTTCTTTGAGAAAAATAAAACAATAACAATGGAATTAAATGTAAATAAAGATAACGAAATATTAAAATAACAAATTAACATAAATAATCAAATAATCGATAAATAATAATGAACACAAATAAATAATAATGAATTGAAATTATTATTTATTTCATATTATTATGATGATCGCTGTTATTATGATTCCTTATTTATTCATATTTCATCATTATTTTATTTTGATTAATTGATGTATTTGAATGTGTTATGGATTGTTGATTTATCTTTATTTATTTAATTCATCTTTATTGTAATTTATTCTTTTTTGGTGTTGTTTATCATTTATTGATGTTGTCAAATTAAACCATTTAAAATATAATTTAAAAAGAAGATAATTACAATAAAAACACTTCATGTGAAGTACTTTCTGATATATTCATCCATTTATTCTCTTCTTCAGTATTGATGATGAATAATGAATTAATATATTGATCATCATTTCTTAGTATAATTGTTTTACCTGTTCCTGTGATGAGTCCTTTAATGTATTGATTGATTAAACTTCCAATTTCTTGGA